ATAAGTGAATAGATAAATAAAAAGCTAGAGAAAGAACCAAAATAGATCCTGGCGTTCAATGACTCACTGTTGCTCTCGCTTCTTTGGATGTCAGGGCAAGCTTGATACTTGAGAAGCAATTTGCTTTCGTCGGTGCACTTTTCCCCGAGACTGACGGGCATCGCGCATTCGCCATACCCCTTATCGTAGCTGAACGTAAACGACGCGCCGCTGAAGGGGCACGGTATTGGCTTGGAATTCAAGCGAAACATGGAGTACAGGGTATCGTCCGATTTGATGTTCTGACACATGTCTTCCAACGGTGCTAAATCCGCGGAACACCAACCTGGAGAAGAGAACGGTAAATAACGTTAACGTTGAATCATTCGGTAAATAACGAGGAACGATAACAGCGTGACTAACGCCAACGTCTGATAAGTAAATTATATATGATCTGTTCCCAAGAAAGGTAAACTTGTGAATCTTGTTTGCCAGGGTTTCGCAACTTTTCAGACTCTAAATACGCGGTGCATTACTTCGCCAGGCAAATGAAGTAGAATACATATTTCTATCACTCTATTTATTTATCTCAAATTATCTGTGAATTTATTGTTACCGTATCAAACACTTTTAAACGAATAATATTTTCGCAGAGAAAATGTATCTGGAATATTATTTTTATCCATAAGTTCCCTTCCTTGGGAGAAGGAGAATCGATTCTCACCTTCGCGAAACTGGATCACATTCTCGTGTCGATCGTTGACGATCAAGCAGTGATAGCAATTGTCGCCGCTGAAAACGATCAATGTCGCTGTACCTACTTTACATATTCATTGTAACTTTGTCTACCATTTTCAAATACTTTGAATACTTACTACACGATGTACGTGTCTTTCGATCGCTCCACGCACGTCCTTTCACCCAGCATGGTCGCGTTTACGGCAATCGATACCAGTTTTCCATACTGGTACCATTCTCCGGCCCAACCCGCTGGAAACTCGCAGGAACCTGCAACAATTTAAATAGAAATTCGTGTTTGTTTATTGACCGATTTCTATCATTTCATTAGTCTGCACGAGCAGTAAGGGTTGGAGGACCCTTACAAGAGAGAGGGTTCCCAGCTTTTCAAGGTTCTAGAAGAGGACCTAATTGCGTTGGGGTTGTACATTTTTTCATAAATACAAATTTTTCTATTTTTCTCTTTTTCTGGTTTTTCTTATATGTATATTTATCTCCCACTTCCAGGTATCAGAGAGCCCCTATAAAAGTAAAGCCCAACACTGCCTCCACCTTCTAAGTTCCATAGACCAATCATAAAAATGAACAGTGTTAAATTGCGAATTAATTAAATTCTGATATGTACTGTTGCAGATGCAGAATGAGGACCAATTTAAAGAAAAAATGCATCGAAACATTAATAAAGAAAACAGCATCTCCTGTGAGCACATTAAAATTGAATGTGGAGGAGGGTATCTTTGTCAGAATAATTGAATGAATTGTTAAATACGCAGACGCGATACGAAAATAGAAACGAAGTCAAACCTCCAGGCTTTCTATTTTTTCAATCGGATATGGTACGTCCATTACATCGGCGCTGCCAGTTACGAACGGGTAGAGACAGAAGTATTTTTAGACAACAGAAATGTTCTTTTTCCACGGTACGAATAGATAATTGTCGCGACCTTATTGCCAAGCATCGATCCTATTCTGACGCCTACCTATCGAGGCAAATTAAATGAGAAAGTAAACGACGTACAGCATGATTTCGAACCACGTGGGAACTGGGTTATAACGACTACCAAGGGACCGACGAAATTTACTCGATATAACAGTCGCATACATGCTATATCAGCGACGAGTTAAAGAGGGTATCTTCTTTTGGCGAATGAGAAACAATTGATTCACTTTTAACGACTTAAATTTATCCAAATTTATATGAAGTTGGATGAAATAGATAAATAAGAAGTTTAAATAGAAGAATAAAAAGTTGAGTCAAATAAAAAAAAGACTGTTATTGGTAAAATGTTATAATAGTTTACCAATGTAAAATGTAACGAACCAAGAGGTGCTATAGTTTAAATTGTAATGACTCAAGTCTTAAGATTAAAAGTCGTTACTTCGATATCAATGTGCCATCTTTACAGTGTATTAAAAATAAAAATTACTCACCATTGGCGAAGTGTACGTCACTCAACGATAGAATCAGGAGCATGAGCATCGTCGTCGGGCCGAGACTCCCTTTTCGATGCGGAACGGAAGGTCCCAGCATCCTGAAATGGAAAAACAGAAACTGTACGGCTCGTCACGATCCAAACGCCACGATCGCCGCTACCGTAATAATTACAAAGTGCAATGTTTTGGTTGCTCGCGTTTACACATGCTCCACGAGATATATATTGTACTTCGTTTTCATTCGTCTGTATAATCAAATTTCGATTCGAGCGTCGAACTCGACGGACCGCTCTATTATTACTCGGCAAAGATATCAAGCGAACGAACGATCTAATTTATCGATTTCGACCAGCAAACCGATACAGATTCGTCTCTTTTTCGTGGAATTATTCGAACGTCACCAGAGGTCGGCAAAAATTCTTATCTGTCTACGAATACAAGATAAAAGGCTACATGCCTATTGGAATGAATACTAGAATTCTAAATACAGAATACATAATAATAATTATAATAAATATAATAATAATAAGTTAGAGATTTAAGAAGTAATTATTTTGTGGATCAGGAATGAAACGATCCTAGGGCTGAAGGACCCACTTGAAGAAATTGTGAATTTTCAAATATTTATAATATTAAAAAGCATGATATTTTTAATTAACCCCTTGAGGAATATTGACACATATGTGTACGTTTGGTTTTGTATCAAATTTAACATTACTTGCGATTACAATTAAATGTATTAAACAATTGCACCTATAAAAGTCCATTTGAAATTCTTGCCGCAAGAGATTAAAGTTTTGTCGATATACAAAGCTCACAATTTCTTCAAGGGGAGTGTTTTCGCCCCTCCAGGATCATTTCTTTCCTAAAACAAGAAACAGTAACGTTATTAACATCGTTTTAACTGTATCTCGCCCATCTCTGAACCAAACATACCGGCACGCGGGTGTCATTTGGTGTTCGAAGCGGAAGAGCAATCGAACTGATCGGGTGAGAGGAATAAAACGTTCACTGAGATCACTCACGGTGGCAATGTAGACAGTGCGGTAAAAGAAGCGCTTCGAGATAGTCGCGAAATGCGACTGCAAACGAAGCCACCAAGAGAGATGCATTATTCAACGAAGTACACGTGTTCTGATCCGTTTCGTTCAACGTGTGCTCCCTTTACCGCGAGCCTCGTATATACCTGCTGCTTAGGGCTGGCACTACAGTCACCAGCACCCCGAGGCAACTCCAATATTGGCGCCTTCTAATGTTACAAATGTTAGGATAAAGGAATCCTTAGCTTTTGAAACTATTAGGTATGGAAACTAATTCTGTGGCCTGATATTCAATCACTTGTAACTCTAAGTAGAAATATTTAATCGTCATTTTGTTATTATATGTATGTTAAAGTGCCAAGTTTCTCGTTAATTAAATTTGCTTTCGATACCCGCAAGAAGGAAAATTTAAAAGCAAACTGTTCTTTTGTAGAAGCCTCCCTAATAAAAAGCCCCCGACGCGTTGCATCGCTTGCTTTTCACGTCCATTCGGCCCTGCTTACTGCCCTTTCGTTCGAGCGATGCGCGAATAGGCGCGGATCTGCGCGTAGGAGACTATTAAACACCGAACACGTACTCGCTTTACTTTTTATCCTACTTTGAAAGTTTTTCGATGGATTAAGAAACGGTTCGAAACTTCTCCTCCATTGTCCCGCAAGTTTTCGTGCCGTCCCTGTTCCGCCTTTTCGAAACCGGTCTTTGGCCTCCCGATTTTTACTCGTGCTCCCAACAGTGGCGTAGCTAAGGGTGCGCAACCCCCCAATTCGGAGTACCTTCATTTTGTAACAAACAGAAAACTTCTCAAGTAACCACCAGCATTGTCTTCGTAGAAACAACACTTGGGAGAATGATAAACACGTAGAAATGTCAGTATTTTTTTAATTGACAAATACTGTCCAAAGCACTTTATTTTCGTCTAATATTGCAGAAGATTTAAAAAGAATTAATTTTCTCTTTAAGATGGCATCTCAGCAGAATAGCTGCTCACGTTACCGATTTTAGATTCGAAATCGTTCAAGTTTTCGAGAAAAGAGAAACCGAGAAGCTTCTTTCGTTTCGCCGAGTATTCGTCGCCAATGGGAACTAACCTTTGCACGTTCGTAATCGCGATCACCGTGGCGAAGAAAGGATGCAAAGCTCCGAAAAAGTATCACATAATGTTCTGGGGATCGAAGCTCGTGGTTCGGGGTAGAAATAAGCCGTCACATAAAAGCGAGCTGTCAGGAACTTGGGAATGGATTCGTGGACGATCGTGATTGCACGGAATATTTAACGATTGCCTGGAAAGTGTTTCCAATGGGAAAGGTGCCGCATGCGGAGAATTTCTTAGGGGAAACAAGGAAGAGTCGTACGGCGCGAAATTACTTTTCCCGACTTGAATCTTCCTTGAGACGATCGGCGTGATCCGGTCAAAGGAACGAGCTGGACGCGTCCGATCTCTCCACTAAAACGGCATTCGTCGCGCCGAACGACACTGAAGAGCAACGCACCACTCTCTTTACCATCACTAGCACCATCACCATCACCGTACGAAATCCACGCTTGACGAGGAAGGACACCGTACAACCGTTCCTTCTCGATACACAGTCCTTGCGACGTTCCGTCGTCAATCTTTTTTTATGTTTACTCAAAAAGTCACGAGAACGAGCCACACGTTCAGAATCGAAACGCAAACACTTTTCATTGTTCCCTGACGAGAATGAATCTTCAAACTGTCAATGGAACTCGATGGCTACTAGCGCGAGTCGTTTTCCGCGTCTACTTGCTCGTTTATAAGGCCGTACGCTTGATTGCTCGCCCATGGAAACAATGGCGGCGACGGCCGACGGATGGCGAGGGAAACGCTGCTCCGACTCCAACTATTTCGACGGTACGATGACACACTGCGGAGAGCCAGAATACACGCCTCCATTCATCGACCGCGAGTCTGTGTTTGTATCGTCGATTGGTGTGTTACGCTATTACGATTTAGTGCCTTTTTCAAATGTACTCTAATCCCCTCTACTTCTTGCGCTCGCTTTTTCTATCTTTCCGTTTCCCATTCCGTTTTCCCTTCCTCAACGCCATTTCCTTTTTTCCTGTACACTCCTGCATCCCGTTTCCAAGGATTTATCTTTTGGTTTCATCCCCTTTTTTAATAGTTGCTTTTATTCCAGCGAATTGTCCGAGTAAATAAGAAGTAGGGAATTTAACGATGGGACACCAGCAATGGCTAGGGATAATGCTTACGAGGAACCTTTGACTATAGTCAAAGCTGGTCAAAGCGAGGAACAGAGTGGAATGTATGTGTAGTCATTGAACTACAGTTCGGTGTTAGTTTGTTTGTTAGTTATTTAAAGTGCATTATTAGTTGTTTTTTACATAGTTTACATTTATTTATTACATATTTCTTTGGAGACGGAGCCGTCCGACGAGCTAGCGTCGCTGTGGGCGAGAGGTGTTGGTGCGCGTGGCTGAGCAAATATACACGTTTCCGTTATAAATACTACGACTTTATCGTTAATGATCTTTAATTTTTTCTCAAAAGAAAAGTAATGCTGCTTATTCTACTATATGGTTGCTTATAATATTGCTCAGAAAGTCAAACATACGCGAGTCGCTTTGTAATGCGCGGGCGGCTATTTCCCGCCATTCGACCGCAAAGTGATGAAAATTTAGTACTAGTGGCGTCATCCGTGAGAAAATGCCCAAGTTTATAGAGAAAGTAGTTCCTATTGTTGCTGCTAGATGGAGGGTGACCTATTGTCAGTGGCGCCATCCGTGGGAAAATGCCCAAGTTTATAGAGAAAGTAGTTCCTATTGTTGCTGCTAGATGGAGTGTAACCTATTATCAGTGGCGTCATCGGTGACAAAACGCTAAAGTTTGTAGTAACGGGTTAGTTTTGTTCCTTCAAGCTAGATGTCGGTAAAAAACAGTGTCAATGGCTAGACTATTTTTTACAAGAACTAAATATTAAGATACGTAGAATACTTAATGACTTTTTTGAGAAGAGTAATATTACATTATAGATAAATAATGTTCCTAATAGTATAAGTTACACGATAAGAAAATCTAAATAAATGTATTGTTCCTATTAATATAAGTTATACGATAAGTAAATTTAATTGAATGTGATACATATGTAAGGCTTATGGATCGGTGGATGTGGAGCTTGTTCTTATTCTTTCAATAAAAAAAAAAAAAAAAATAAAAAAACAATGCCAATGGCGCCACTTAACAGTAAGAATAGGAACTATTCGAGGACAAATTTGGACGTTTTCCCGCCGATGGCGCCACTAGAAATAATACCAACTGAACTATAGTTCAATATTTGAAAATAGGGAAAGAAAATAGAAATATGATTTTTGTTAAAAATGGTTGAAATGGGGAAAATGGGAAAACGCTCGGTTTCCCTAAAATAGGGAAAATCCTCGTTCGACTTGTGTCGGCTATCCTCGGTCAGCTTCGACTTGGTTGGAATGGAATGTGCCGAAGAACACTACGAACTGTGCGAAAGCGTCCAATCAATTTGAAACAAGAGTTTCGTGTAGTTAATTTTATCGGTATAACAAAGGGAAAATAAACTGTAATTTATGTCTTTTTGTAGAATGTAAAGATAGATAGAGTGTATGCGTTATTCGCGAGTACACGTTGTCCCCCTTTGTTTGCGATGACTTGACAATCACGTGCACTCATGCTCCGGTCTGATTGTTTAGTCGAATGTGTGTACGGAACAGATAACATGATAATACGTGTAGACGTTCTGCGAAATGAATTTATTCCATACCGAATTATGCTAAACGAGCCCTGTCTCTCTAGCCACATTGTTTGTTGTTCTCTCAGTTATGCGTCCACCCCGTTTAGTGCCGTTCAAAACACGGTAACTGTTATTGTACTTCTTGATTAAATTTATTTCGCATCTTTCATATTTTGAGCCATCGCGCGCATTATTTATTTTCAAGTGCTTTTTAAGTGCTTTCGTTCGTGCGAACCGAATTCGTTCACAGAATGTACATACGTACGATAGTAAATGGGAATGCTACACATACACGAGCATGTCTTTCAGCCATCGTCCTTTTATACGTATTTACTTCCCTATTGTCGCCTCGTACGATGGGGGATTGGAGAGACGGCTTTGAAATATGTACGTCTCATATTATATTAATATATCTATATACACATATACATATACAGGGTGGGTCGTCAAAGCTTAAAACCTAATACCATCTGATCAAATTTGACTCAGAATAGTTAAAAAAAAAAATATTTTTATGAATTTTAATACAAATCTTTATTATCGCCTTCAAAATAGGCTTCTTTTGAGCCAATACAAGCATGCCAACGGTTAATCCAATTTTCCATACACTTCTTATAGGCCTCGACCGGAATGGCCTTTAGTTTCTTCAGCGAATTTCTTTTTATGGCTTCAATCGACTCATGCCGTGTTCCCCGAAGCGGATATTTGAGTTTCGAAAACAGAAAAAAGTCACAGGGAGCTAAATCTGGCGAATACGGTGGCGAAGCAATGACTTTTGTTTCGTGTTTGGCTAAAAATTTAGTCACAATCAGGCTAGAATGCTAGAAAATTCAGATCTTTCGGTACGAGTCTGCCGGTAACGCGCTTCATACCCAAAACATCAACCACAATGTGTTGAGTCGGTCCATAAGAAATGTTGAGAGCCTCTGCTATCTCTCTAATGCCAACCCGAAGATTTCCAAGTACGATTTCCTTCACTTTTTCAATATTATCGTCATTAATAGAGGTTGATAAACGACTCGCATGAGGCAAGTTTTCTACGACTTCACGACCCTCACTGAATCCTTTATGCTACTCAAATACTCGAGTTCCCGATAGGGTAGACTCTCCATAACACTTCTGTAACATTTTCAAAGACTGCGTAGCCGTAATTCCATTGGAAACACAAAATTTCAAGCAAACTCGTTGTTTCATTTTTTTTTCCCATAGCAAAAATCGCCAGACAATCTTTTCGCGTCGTACACAAATGACTGCCAAAAACTCACAAAAATGGACGTATCTCGCGCGCACTTTACACGAATGTCAAAGAAGGTTATACCAAACTAGAACAAATATTTTACCGATTCAGTTTACGCGAGCGATTGAAATGGACCAGTCCGGGTCAAATTTGATCAGATGGTATATATATCAGTGATGGGCAAAACCCTAGGTTTTGAATAAATCTGAAGTTTGCCGATATGTTTGTCTCATTTCCTCTTTTGAACATTTTCCAGAGAAAGAAACGAGACAAACACATTGGCGAACTTCAGATTTATTCGAAGCCTTGGATTTTGCTCATCTCTGGTATATATTCATGGCTTTTAGTGATATCTAAGGAAAAAAATATTTGTTTCGAAGGGTTACTCGTGATTTATTAATCAGAAGTACTTTCATGTATACATATAGTATTAGAAGACTGATTCAACCGCGTATGATGAGTTGACCTTCCGTTGACCTGAGAAGCTATTCTTATAAAATCGTATTTTGGTGTACGGAGGTAGTTTGGAGTTTACCCACTCGAATACATCAAATGTACAAGAATAGAATATTTAATAATGCACTGAAAATGGAGACCGAGTCAGCGTAACGGTAGGGCAAGGCGTACGATCACTGTTACGTATGTGTGCGAGGTTCCTTAGTTTTTCGATTTAATCCTGAAACGAGCGTCTTTTCATACTCTTAAACGTTTATGAAACATCGTATGCACAGCGTAAATATTCATATTTAACGTTGACACGAGATTGCCTCTTCCAATTTTGACTTTGTAATAACTTCTGAATAGGTCAAACGAAGGTTAACGTATACATGGCTAAATTCGTTTTCTTATCATCTTCGATACGACTGTGAAATACATCGTTCCGTCTACTAGGATGTTGCTGACCTTGATATCTCGGAAAATATGACCTTGAGACAAAATCTTTGTTACAATGTACGTCCCTTCGTGGAGAACAAGTGGTTTTAAGAAGACATTCTCTCGAATCGTTAAAGCCATCGAAGGTATTTTACGTTCCAAGCCTTAGGCGACTCACTTGTGTATGTATACAAGGTGAGGTATTTAAAACGGGCCACGTGAATAGTTTACCTACTTTTGGCGATGAGATAAAAAACAATCAGGTCCTGCTTGGCTCCAAAGTAGAGATAAACTGAAGTTAATCGTTTTTTGAAAGAGGCGTAGAGGAGATGGAGAAGATGGTGGTTAACTTGGAATTTTTGAAATGGAACGTGCTATTCAACTCACCTTTACAAAAGAGTGTACCAAGAGTTAAGACTAGTATAATAATATATGTTTTAAATGTTGTTAAAAAATGGCGGAAATTTATATGATTTTCACTGTGATAAACACTCTCGCGTGCTGAGAGATTACCTAATCGCGCCAGATTTGATGATACGGATAAAAAGTCCGATACTGTCGACGTCGGAATCACGTTAGAGCGTCGATGCTCAAGGTCGTCGTTTCAAATACTTTCATTAGCAGGCGTTTAAATGAGCAAATGATCGAAGCCAGTCGGATCAGATCCTGGAATTAAGATATTCCTCATCACAGTTGACCTTCGCCGACCTTGAATGCCTTCTAACCGCAGGCTGGGTCATTGTACGCGTCTTCTAAAACGTTCCGTTGGACGGTGAGTAAGACAAAAACCCATACCTTTTTTTTAGAAATAATGAGATCGACCTTGGCATCCCCCTCGACACCCTCTAGAAAAAGAAACAACGTCAGATTACGTTTCGCCTTGAAACCGAGCCAAGCCTGGTCGGATGCATTTTTTTGTTTGCTGTTTAAGTGGGCAAGCCATTCTGGTGGCCTGTTTTCCCAATCCCTCATCGCGTATTTGCAATTCTGGATGTGTATAGAAACATATAATAAGTTACACTTTGTTGCAAGCTGTCTTCCAAATCGCTGCAGATGCACCCCAATTCCTTTTTTGTTCAATTAAATATGTAAATACATTACATAAATTGTCTTTGGGATCGATGCACTTTGTTTTCATTTTAAAGAACATAAAATTAAAACTATACCACCCAAAAGATACGTCATATGACATACATACAAAATGAATAGAATAAAATACATATATATGTATAAATCTACCTTTGAAGTACTTTTTTATTCCACCGTGCAAAAAATACTTTATATAGCATATACAGAAAAATAAAATGAAATAAAATGCAAACACCTGGATAAATCTATTTTTAAAGTACTCTTACATTCCATGACGAACGAAAATACGTGATCAACAGTGTCTATGAAGATATGCTTGTAGGAATTCAAATGTGCACGTGCATGCCTTCTTCAGAAACCAATAAAACGATCATTATAACAAATTGAATAGTTGAGTTGAAAATAGATTAGTTTAAAACCGAGGAAACAGACGATATAGTTGTTTTAACCACGTGGACAGTCGAATTGTATCTAGGGCATGAACAGCTCTTGAGCGCAAGTCCGTCGTGAAGGAAACGTGACTTTTCGATCGGCGCTGGTCGCTCCGCAAAATACATACGTCGATAGGTAGGTCAACAGACGCAACGGTTGGGACGCCGCGCGTACACGAATGTCATCGAACATTTTTTTACGTCGAGGTATGTTATCACCGAATCCCGTCACGACGTTTACAATTACATCGTTCAAGGACACGTCGCATTCCTCGGTTCTCGACCGCGTTATCACGGTGCTCCGCGTTATATCGTATCGCGTGGTGCAATTAACGAGGTGACGACCGTGATTTCAGTGTTTAGGAGAATGTAACGCGCGATCATTCGGTAATTACCATTAATAATCGATCAACAATCGATCGTATCCGAAAGATTACGAATTGCTGATCGATAAATTTTAGTTGAGAGTGTTGTTTATAATCTGACAATTGCGTGCGATGGTTGTAAGAGTAGAGGAGCATGTTTGTATGCAAATCGAGGGCTGATAAATTTTAGCACACGAGTTAGTTAGTTTGGATCGTCCTTCGGTACTTGGAAATATTATAATTGACTGGAATTAATATAATACTCCGTTGAGTATTGTTTTATTGTCTATCGAGTTCTGTGTCACGTTAACCTGCAATTACCATTATCAGGGTCATTTTTGATCCAATAGAAGAAAGTTTCTTCGTTCCGATATAAATCATCGAAGATCGCATCATCCACTCTAAGGATCTCGTTGGATTTTCAGGTTATTTTTTTTTAAACGAGAGACCATCTTCTCTCGGGTCAAATGTGACCCAATAATAAAATGCAACACATTGGAATCTTTTATACGAAAATAAGTGAGAAAGTGACGGAGGATTGGCAGTGTTTACATCGAATCGATCGCAAATTGGAGAACATTCGGGGTGAAAAAAGGCTCGCACGCGTTCAGTGAGCTCCTCGAGCGCGTGCGTTGAACGCACACACGTGAACACCGTGGATGATCGCTTATCCAACGTGACAACCGTATCATAACAACTTATTGTACAATACCGTGTTATGCATATATTTGTTACCGCGTGTTCCACTTTTCTCGAAGAATGTCGTAGCTCTACAGAAAGCTGCTTTCAAATTTTAGCCAATCCATCAGAATGTCGTTCTTTGGTTGGAAAGGCGCACGGTCCGAAAACGCTGAGCACACAGGACGCAATTTGCAGGATGGCCTATTTCAAATTGCCTCCCAAGCTTGCCACATATTAGTGCAAGTAAGTGTTTTTTCTTCTTCACAAATAGGCGTTTGCACGGTGGTGATTTCGTTTGTCAATACGCTAAAGATATTTAAATAATACGCGAAGTAGTTGAATCCTTAGCAGTTATTGATGGATAGACAGAGTAGAGATCTAAAGAAACTGCAATCAGTTATCGATGAATATTTGAATAGAAATTTATATTCCTTAAAATACCACTTCGTCTGTAAATATAAAATTCTGTTGGCAAATAAATTATACCCGTACTTATAATTTCACGGGATGTATAAATCAACGCGATGCTTGGCAAATTGAAAGATCAAAATAAATAAGATGCCAGTAGGTAAAAACACTTTATTATTCACAATAAACGTTTCGACCTTCGGTTTGAGTCTCCTTAGGAATTCCCACGTGTTGCCAGCCCAACACTGTAAATTTTTGTTTTCCTTTCTTCTCAACGGTACTCCTAGAATTACAATTCACATTAGATAAATGATAATGCGATATGCTAATGACATGTGAGTAACTAGAGACTACATGCTTTACAGTGACACATGAGACGTCTAGTAATGTACATTTAAATATTTTATCTCGTTACATGATAAGGACAAAAAAGTGACAATAAACATTTTTTCTCTTCTCGAAGGCATCCCTTAGAGGATGCTTATGCATTCATGGCGAATGGAAATTTGAATAAATCGGTTAGAATGTGGACGAATGCAAAAATATATCAAATATGTACCGTCATTTGAGTTTCTTGTACTGTAAAAAAATAAATTTGCATAAACATCCGCATTCATCTTATCAATTATATATAGCACATGCGATAATACTGATTCACTTAATCTTACAAATTAAATCACTTACTTACAAGCCAAGCAATTATTGTCCACTCAAGTTTGACGATTATTGTAGTGTCGATAGCATATGCCGATAGTACGTAGAATTAAAATTGACTTTAAGAAGACTTATTAGCTTATGACTTATTCTCATATTTTACTAATCGCACATTTTCCTGGAAAGGTAAACAACACGCACAACGTTTCCTACGGCGGCAGCAACAACGTGAGAAACATCGCGTACTCCAAATGCTCCAGCAAAGATGGTGACTCGATAAATGTCGCGAGTTGTTCCGTAAACAGAGGAACAGCTTCGACGGTTAAGTCCTACACGAAGTACGCGAAGGAAAGGGGCAAAGACCAGGATGTGGTCGTCCTGTTGCCGCATAGAAAGAACAGGACCGCCCTTGTCAAGCACAAATTGTCCGTATGTATGAGGGCTTTACGGTTCACCGGTTATTGGGGAAACTATGTGACGCGGAATGTTCAAATTTCGATATACAGATGTATCTCTATGATTGAATTCATATTCATAATCCAGGGAGGCTCGAGGTCAGTCGAGGTCGGATAATAATGCTTCCAAATTTGACAGAGATGAGCAAAACCCTAGGCTTCGAATAAATTTGAAGTTTGCCGGTGTGTTTGTCTCCTATCCTTCTTTGGAAAATGTCCAAAAGAGGAAACGAGACAAACACATCGGCAAACTTCAGATTTATTCGAAGCCTAGGGTTTTGCCCATCTCTGAAACTTGAACATGTATATAAAGATACGCTGGTGATTTAGTTAATTCGTTCAAAGTTGTACAAGGCTAATCGACGTCTAAGAGAAATGGCTCAGAGCCAGCGTCTCTTAGACAGGGTTCACTGTACTATGGCGCACCTGAAGTATCCCCTCGCGGGTAGTAAATTAATTCGATTCGTTTTTTAATCGAATTTGGTGTCCTTTACTGCAGACTGTCTCCGAAAATGCACGCCTAGAAGTGAACCCTTCGAATTGTAGCGGTGGTGGTGGAGGCGTCGGGGGCAATACCGGAGTTCCCGATGACGACTTCGAGTTGTGGGACCAATCCGGTTTCATGCTCAGAAGCGACGCGGATGACTCAATAACGCATGGCAAGTTAGTATCTGTGCACCAGTTACAATTTATAGTAGACGATAGGGATGGGCAGAATGAACAAAAAAATTATTCTTAAGCGAATCAAACGAACCTTAAGCAAAATTAAAATAAATTGCCTCTAACGGGCTGCAAGTCCCTTTCTAAATGTATAGGCGCATCGTTGAGTGAATAAAGAATAAAAATGCGTTCTCACCTGGCTGATCATTTTGCCCATCTCTGACGACGCAGAAGATGCGGTCCAAAGGAAGCCGAATTAAGATGGACTGGTTTTTTTCTTTCGAGAATAGATGGGGAGGGGCTCAAGGATGGTGCAGGCCCAGTTGCATTCCCATCACGGTCATCCTAATTTTGATAGTCTTGGTAGTTTTGCTGCCATTGTTGGATCACGCAGCGGACAAGTACGCGTCGAACAGCAGTAACGTTGGCTTCGACGCGAGCTGCATGAGCGGTTGCAATTTATCTCTGGTAGAAAGTATGCCGATCGGTATGAACTTCACCGATAATAACGTAGCCTTTGAGAGCACCTATGACTCTTGGGTGGGATTAATTGCGTTAGCGAGAGAAAAAATAGAGATAGCATCGTTGTATTGGAGCTTGAGAAGAGAGGACGTGTTCCCGGACGATAGCGCCCATCAGGTAAGGGAACAGAGGATGGGATAAGGGTTTGAAAGCAATCAGCAGACTTATTTCTTCTCCGATCCATTGTCCCAGGGCGAGGAGATCTTTCGGTTGCTTCTGGAGGCAGGTAGAGACCGGAACATACTGCTAAATATAGCACAAAACATGCCAACGCAAGCTAGTCCGAATGTCGACACGGAAATCTTGGCAAGGAAGGCCAATGCTAAGGTAACTTTGATTCAAAGAATCGAAGAAAAAGCAATTGCAACCTTTGAGCATTTCTCGAGTTTTAAAGAAAGACGAAATCATCAGGTGCATTTTTCTCGCGAGCGAACAATACATTGAATGTTATTCTCTGATTAGATTCATTGAATCTAAGTGTGTTGTAACTGTACATATAAAATATCGTGAACCATAAAGAAACGATGCACAACGTTAAATAATATAAAGTGTAGTACTATAACCCGAAGAGAAGCGGTGGGTTACAATCACGAAACCAACGATATAAATATATTCACGAAATTAATAATTCACTTCCCAAACCTTAAGGTAGAGTGTAAAGTCAATAGATAAAAAATTCATAAGTTGAAAGTAATAATGCATCAGTTGGTAAGGGGACACGTGATAGATTTGCTTATGTAATACAGAATCGTTTATATCGCATTAGGAAAGAAAGGGTTACACTACTCTTTAAGTGTATCCTGTATACTAACAAGACCAAAAAAAAAGAAGGAATCTTCCAATGTTCTCTCCAGTTTTGGTAGAGAATTAGATCTCGGTAAAGACCTAAGCGTAAGTAGAAGGTAAATAAGAACAAGTAGTAATGTGAATTTGTCATTCGTCATTTTAATACTGGAAGTCATACGGTGATATGGCAACAATACTAAACAGGAATTTGCACTGCAAATTACTGCAATTGCAATTACTTCGTTGAACTTGGAACTTAAAAAATTTAAACATTATATAAACGTGTGACATGCGCTGCATCAATGAGCATAACGATAATCATCGTGATAAGAAAAATGACAAAAAGTATAGAATTTTTTTAAACGGAATCAGAGTAATTGAAATTAAAAGAATCCTTTGGTTTCTGATTGCGTACATGTGTAATAGACAAGTGTTTAACCTCTTCACTTTCTTGGCTACAGACGTGGACGTATAGTTTTTTACAATTATAATTACTGACAATAATGAAAAGAACACAAATTTGATAATAACTTATTCACTACAGAATCCCACAACAAGAACAGTAAAAATTGTATGGTTTGGCTGCACTGATAATGTTATTTCCGATGTACAGTTAGAGATGCAAAAAAATTCCTGAAGAGGTTAAACGAAGATTAGTAATTTACTATCTACTACGATTTCCATGTAGTAATTGTATGTACTGTGTTAACAGCAATTAACCTCAAGTGCGATTAGCTAGTCAGATCTCAATTTAAATTGCAATTCAGAAAACAGATTTCATTTCCATCTGAAAAGCCTGATTCCAGTTCAGGAATCCTCTTCTAAGTAAGGGTAATTCACCCTCGCCTGGATCGAACTTGGATCACTTCGTATAGAGATGCGGACAACTACTAAAAATAATTCGTCCTCTCGGCCGACACCGGCCGATGATTTAAGAAACTATTGATTTAAATTCGAACAGGTGAGAAGCTTGAACTTTGCCGGATTGCTCGGAGGCGGTGTCCTTCATACGAAGTTATGGCTCATCGATAGAACCCACGTTTACGTTGGTTCAGCGAATATGGATTGGCGATCGCTCACGCAAGTGAAGGAGCTTGGCCTAATCGCTCTGAACTGCAGTTGCCTGGCGAACGACTATGCCAAAATTTTCGACGTAAGTTCATCGTCGGTCAAATAAAATTAATGATTCGAATAAACTAGAAATAAAAGAAATGGCAAGTTTAAAAAATTTCCTTGGTATTTTTTACCTGTACTTTTTCTAACATGTTACAGGTACTGTGGGCAGTTGGCGAAGCCAATAAAGTACCGCCTATATGGCCGGATTCGGTCACCACGAAGATCAACGTGAACAATCCGATGACGTTCACGTTAATGGAAAATAGATATCGCGCGTACATCGCGGTAAGTGTCGTTTCGCAGCGCGAATTTTATGCATTTATGCCGTTTTTCACGTTATATTGTAAACACGAAGAGCATACATCGAAATTATCCAGAATACATTTATGCAACATTAAATACCACTAATAAATATAGTTTACATACTTTTTGCATATATGTTTACGGTATTACGCGTGTTTGCATATATTTGAAACACATTACCATGGGACGAAATTTCGTCCACATGTGCGACATTTAAACGCAAATTAATAATGGATTTTATTGCACAACAAAGTAGTCAGGAATTAAATATAAATGTCCTATCCTCCTATTCTTACTTTAACAATTTCACAACACTTAACTTTCATATTAGGATACGCACTGTAATTGTTTATATTTCTTCCCGTCGCCATTGAGTAATGTAATTTATCTTACACGTTTATAGGATACTATTCCAGACCAATAAATCCGTCTATTCATTAACATATCCCATGAATGCATAAAATTCCAAGTCTAATCGATTTCTCTTTTCTGGAGATCTAATCGGTGTTTTATTCGCCCAGAAGCTCGTAATTTCAAATACGGGAACACGAATAATGTTTCAGAGCTCACCTCCGCCTTTCTCACCGAAGGGAAGAACCAACGACGTCGACGCTATTCTTAACTGCATCGAGAAAGCAGAGAAATTTATTTATATCGCGGTTATGGACTATTTTCCTCTGACTATATACACCGCGAAAATCAAGTACGTATCCAATTAACTTTCTCCCGCTATCTGCTTGATTTATCTGTCTGTTATTGCCATTGGTACACGCGAGAACCCCGAGTGCAGAAGGGTTAATCGCGTTCCCTCGCGCGTGTACTTGGACGAGTAGGAACCTTTTTGTCGTGATTAAAGATATTTTGATAATATTTGGAGAGGTAGACGGGGTTCCAATGAGGCATTATTTTATACAAAATTGATATCTGTCGCGTTCAGACTCTGGTGACTTCAGATTTCAATACTTTTAGTCAAGAAACTCCCTTCTCAGAACTTACTACTATATTGAATCTTCTTATGAAAGAATTTATTAAAAGGAGTTGGCCTTCGAATGTCCTAATCAGCCACAAACCATTGTTGAGGTTTTAATAAAAAATTTACGCCAAAACCATTGTGATCTCCTCGCTGGCTCGACTAGCTCTGAAGTAAAGTAACGTTAATAACGAGCCTGAGCCCCCTAAAGACGCGGGCAGCAATGACTGACGCGGAAGATAAATTAAACTTTGGGTCAAACGGGCTCCCCCTTCCCTGTGCCTCTTAAGATTGACCGTGGATTTGATTGTAATATGTAGGTATTGGCCAATAATAGACGACGCTTTGAGGACCGCAGCAATCGAACGGAAGATTCAAATACGGCTGTTGATCTCATCCTGGAAGCACTCGAGGAAGTCGGAGGTCGCCTTTCTGAGATCGTTGGTCGAGCTGACCGGCAGCTATGCGGGCATTAAAATCGAAGTGGTTGGTATACCATTGCTCGAGGTTCTTTGAGACCAACGAAGTGACCTTACTTTCGTCTCAACGTTTGCTTCCAGAGAAGATTCGTGGTTCCCACCAATACAACCTTGGACAAAATACCATTCGCAAGAGTAAACCACAACAAGTACATGGTGACGGACGTGGCCGCCTACATAGGGACCAGCAACTGGTCTGGAGATTATTTTACGAACACTGCAGGCAATTATTTTTACTATTTATTCATTTATGTGCTCTTTGTATTCAGCCTTATTTAGCATCGAGCCAATTACCGCTCGTTTCACTGCCACTAAGAACGTAGTTTCGTTTAAATAAAACATGGAGGACTTTCCAAGATCGTATCACTTGAAGTAGTGCTTGGAGTTTCCATTTAGATGTAACTCTGCATAGAAACGTTAATATTGATCAATGATACGTGTAGTTACACTTTCCGTCAAAACATAAAAGGCAAGTACAAAAATTTCCACCTAAATCGGATGAAAATAGGAGTTACATGGAAATCACAAACACAAAGACTTTTAATGTGTCAGGACCTTAAATGGTCTAAGTTTCAAATTAGGTACCGAACTTTTAAATCGAGTTGTACATTTGCAATTGGTTTGCTTTTAATATTTGGCTGTATGTGTGTTACCATTGCATAAATCGGTGGCCCCCTCCGGCCATCAATGGAAAAACAATGCAAAACTACCATTGCATAATGTTCTTCCGAACAAAAGTTAACAAAATAAACGCCAGGTGTCAAAATTGTTCAAATAATAAATATATCGATATTTTTCTAAATTTAATTTGGAAAATCAGGCTTCTAAGGGTTAACGTGGCGCTATGTAGTGTCAAGAATTGAGTGTAGCGTTAAGATTAGTTTGATGCACTGATACAATGCTTTTCGTCAGACTATAAGGAGCACTTAAGCAAAATTTCATCAGGCCTGGACGAAAACAACAGGAGTTATGGCGAAATCCCAAACAACTTCGTGTTCCAGGTATAGGTACGGTGTTCGAGAGCGTCGGCGACGAAACGTCGGACAACCTCAGACGACAATTGGAGGATATTTTCCACCGCGACTGGTACTCCGAATACTCCTACGCTCTAAATGGAAGTTTACCGATCGCGGAAAGTCCGATGAACGTGATCGACGGCTATCACTCGCGATCCTCGCGCTACGTGTTCGCGTGACAACGTCGGTTTCGTCGACGGGCGTTTGACCATCGAGGAAAATGAAAATCGGTCGTCGATTAGCATCGGAGGTGTTTCTTAAATGTCACGTCTCTTGTAATAATTTCTCTTCAACTTCAACGAAACACTCGGCGACGGGTTGTTTCCGAACACTCGGCAAATATCGTCTTCGAGCTTCGTACGTTTTGTTTGTTCCGCCTGCGTCACACCACACACACACATACACATTAATATGCCTACAACCACATAGACACGCATACACCGATACAAAACGTGCGTCTTCCTTCAATTTTTTCTTTACCGTCTTCGTTCTGTTTACGACTACTCGAAAACGTGCCGTCTCCGTCCAACTCGTGAATATCTCCCAGCCAGGCACGAGAAACGTGCACACGTCGAACCTTAAACCTACGCGAGTAATCTTACATAATGGACGTCCGTGTGCCTTGCCACAAGTGCCCTTGCAAATGTTTTCCAAGAGAAATCTCGCCTCGAGAGATCATCCGTCCGTAAGTAACGCGGTAAACCGACCACTCCGTAGAACGGTGCTAAATATCAGTAGTAATTAGCACGCTTGCCAGCATCTTCCCCTGACAAACGGAACGATCCAATTTGGTTTGGCCGTGAACTGAAACCGATGTATCCCAGTCGGCGCATCGTGAAATTTGGCCAAGATGGTTGCGTTTGGGAATTAACAGAGACGAATGTACGTCACGCTACTTTTCGATATTTTACTGAACCTCTTCAACTATTCCGTGTGAAATTTCATCCTCCGTGAGATTCTTTTAGGACTTTTTCTAGAATTTTTACGAATAACGATTGTATACGAGTGAAATCGAGAAGCTGCAAGAGGTACGCGTGGACTGTTTTTGTTAGGAACTGAGTCGGACGTTGAGATGCGAATGAAAGACTCAAATACAAAGTTTAGGCGCAATAGCATTAATAAGTATTAAGATATGCACTGTCTGCGCGCGAGAAGAATGCCACCCGCAACGATGTAGATTCCTCCATTGTTTTAATCACTGCTGGGCAGGGGCCTGTTGACTCTGGTGAAGCTATGTTCTTAGATTATGCACCGACTATAAAATCTGCGGTCGTCCGTGACATTCTTCTCGGGTGCAGACAGTATGTCTGTTAATACTGCGCCTGAATGACAGGCCTTGAGTGGCCTGACTCAATTTTGAATAAAATCAGGAGACGAAAGGTGTGATATCTCTGTAGCATAAATGGACAGTCAATAGCGTAAATTGAACAGAAAATGGGGGTATTTTATACATACATGTATATATGTATAATATCCCTATTACCCCTATATATATCTGCGATAAGTTTTATCAATATTACGAGCAAAAATGACAGTAATACATCTTAGTGACGTCGTAAATAAATTACGAAACAAGTTATAATTAAACTGTAGTTATGTGACTGTAAAAAGTTTGACGGTTATTATGACGAATTACCGTATTTTTTAAGTTGAGTACAAAGTTAGCATACACGAAACGTGTGGTAAGACGTTGTTGCATGCGAAATGGTCGTCTCCTTCCATCGCATGCCAAAGACGCGGAACTGTTGGAAAATCTTAATATGCAATCTCTTCGGTTAGATTTCGTCGTTTCTCAATGATCTCGAGCGATTACGTTGCTCCACTTTCGAGGAATAATAACTTTTCCCATTTCATTGTACACACCCTCTCGTTGGTCTTCCTTATGGTTAGATCTTTACTGATACTGTTATCATTTTTTGTTAAGCCAACAAATATAAAAGCAGTTAAAGTACCGTCAAGTTAAGACTTCATGAAATATGTAGATTCATTGTAATGGAGACCAGGTCGAAGAACTTAGAAGATTGGCATTTTAACATATAATAACGAAATGACGATTAAATATTTCCACTTAAACTAAAGTTCCAAATGATTTAACAGAAAGACAGAATTAATTTCTACGCCTAATAAATATGAATTCAGCTAGATTGAAAAATGAGTATAAAAAGGAACGTTTATTAAATAACAAAAAAGGTGCGCTCGTTTAGATCGTATACAATTGACGTTGAATACAAGGAGAACAGATTCTGTTACTTTCAAATATAACGTTGAACATTTTTTTGCGTCGCGTTATGTCTCATTTTCATTTAATTTGCACTATTACCGACCAATTTGAGTGCGCATAAAGGAATTGTCAGCACGCTTCAATCATCCTTGATGTTCGTAAAATATGAAATATTACGTAACTATACGCGAGCAGTCATTGAGCACGCGTTGCAAAAAGTTCGTAAACTGCTCCTAGGGGTATATCGCTGGAAAATTGAACTTTAAAAAAACAATCGCGCGTGATGTATCGCGATTTAATAGTTTTAATTTCTGCAATAGAAGTCGAGCTTTGTACGAGCCGTGGGAACAAATATATCTCATGTTAACAAATAATAATTCAGTTCTATATTATATATGTCAAATGTATTTTCAAGCATGCAAGTTACAAGCTCGACTGATATTTAAAAAAATGGTACGCGTTTCGTCGATCGTTGGATACCTTTCATCTGGATGAGAACACCCGCCCCAATCTCCTGTCCGAAAACCAATGTCACGTCACGCAGTAACTCGTCTCGATACGTAATATTCGCGATCCTTTTTTCCCTACTTATCTCGTGGTCGATCTTTGCTTCCTATCATTGCGTAACGATTCGCCTTTGCGTCTTGCCTTCGTATTTCGTTCGTACTTCCGGTAACACGTATACGTGTACGCCAACACTTTTTTTCTACCATGGAGAGAAAAAAAAAGGAGTATACGTGCGTGTATGTAAATATAAACGTATCCTCGCATAGGTAAATAGATGTGTATCCGTAATTATTATTATCGTCTATACTTGCAAAATCTGACGAGCGTTAAACTCATACGGAACGCGATGGCGCCGATAATCGGTTGAGCGCGCACTTCATATCCATAAGTTGACAAATTTGCTCGTCGCATAGCGATAGTAAATGCGCGAGAGAGAAAAAGGTTGACAGTGGAAGATTCTTAAGCAGGAACTTAAATCTGAATCAATATTTTCCTGGGTAATTCTTTGGGGAATCCCTAGCGAAATTAGAATACCGGTGTGATGTCATGCAGGTGGTTCACGAAAACACCCTATTATCCATAATTATCGACATAATTTTTATGGAGATAGAAGTGTACTATATAGATAATGTTAAACATAATTTTTGTCCACGACCATAGTTTTTTTAGCCGACTTCGAAAAGGAAGAGGTTACTCAATTCGACATGTATACTTTTTTTTCTATCCAAAAACGAGCGTATCGATTTGTGTAACAATTCTGTAAACTCGTTTCTTATGTAAATACTATTGACAGATTTATAGGATTACTGTGACGTCTTCATATCTTGAACGAATTGTCACATCTATTTACATCTATTCACATATCAAGCTTCTCTACGAATATTTATAGCCATTGTGTATTCATATCGTTATGTCTATGTTATGTGTATCCCCCCATTTAACTAAATCTTGTTTTAATTGTCAAAAGTGATAAAGGAAAATAGATTCTTTTTTTTGTTTTGTTAAAAACAAATCAACTAAAAAATTGACCGATTCCAAAATAATTCTGGTTTCAAGTCCCTACTTTTAAAGATGTGCGTGGGCCCCCCATTTGGGTCAAACTGTGTATACGCTAGGGTGATGAGTAATTCCTAAAAATATAATACATACACACCAAACGAAAGGCGATTGCAAAACGTTGTGTTTAATGATATATAAGTACAATAGTAATTGCTAGAGTTAGAAATGTCGACATGATAGCCAGAGCTGGGTAAAATGTTGAGAAAAAATATTTCAAACGCTATTTTAAATAATAAATGCTACACAGTTCAAATAGAATAATGATTCAAGTACGATGCATAATACCAGCGTATGAAATATTTTTAAATATTTATTACTAATATACTATCACGCTATTTTTATTTAGTACTATAAATAATGTTTTACCAGCTCCAAGCTAAAGGTAGTAGCATGCTCGACTCGCCAACACGTTCAACCGTTAGTACGGCAGTTTACTTTTTACATTTTCGTTGTATTTATAGGATTTTCATGTACGGTCTTCGTTAGAACCTTAAACGCTGAACGTGTCTGATACACGTGAACAGGCGTGAGCAGTTATCAATTGCAAAGAACACGTGTAGAGCCTCTTATTTCACTCTAAAAGTAGGAAGACCTTTGCAATCCAAAGAGGGCACAAAAAAAACCATTTTTAATAAACAACAATTTGGGTAAATTGAGATTAATATTCTAAAAGAATTTTTGTCTGCGTGTCTAAGGAGTAGAAATTCTCTTTTCCTTTTGGGGAAGCATCTTTAACAAAGTTTGGGACCCACCATCCATTTTCTTTATTGTTCTCAGGTCTAACGTTTTCGTTTGTTTCCCAAATCAGTTTACATCGTACTAAAAATATCGCGGCGCGATTCTTCAGCCGGTTTTTCTTTTTTAAATTCGTCGATAAATTCTCGAAAACAATTTTATATTTAAAATTAATTAACACTTAAAGTACACGAAATTCAGAGATAAAATCTAAATTCAGAAATGCTCGCTGTTTTATCAGTTTGAAATTGTTGGAGACATAAGTCAAGTAAAATATGGCGAAACAAATGAAAATAATACATTTAACCTCAAGTACACCTGAAGTAAATAACAGAATTTGAAACACGCGTACAAGTAACGCGGTAATGCCACGTGTTCGTATTCGTAAATATTCAGTTTAACATGTATTTAGTAATTATACTCTATACTATGTGGATTAGTATTAACATAGCGAAGGAAATGATTACAAGTAAATTAACACTTTGTGGTCGACGCAAATCCAAGACTCTGTCTACTTAACAACATTTTGTATAACAAATTAAACATTTTATTTAGCCACTGAGCGCAAAGTGTTAAACAATTTCTGCAAGAAATACTTTGTCTAATTTTACGTACTATATACATGTAAACGATAAATGTAAACGACTTATATTTTTTGTTTAAAATAATAAAAAGAAATGAAAATTCATTGTATCTGTAATTTTATAACGCACGAATTTGTACAATTTAAGAGTGAATTGAATAAAGAGTTAACGTTGACTAAGATACAGGCTTAGAGGAAAGCATGGAGAACCATGCACTTGTTCGCATACGCTGATAGACAAAGAAACATATAAATTTTATATATATATATATATATATATATATAAATTCAAGTTGAAAAATGCCAGTGACCAATTAAAATCGAGCAACCTTATTTCGTAACGCTTTAAAGGGTCTCTCTAGTTACCAGCGTGCCAGTTCCTCGATTCCAGCCAGACAGCTTTGGAACTCTTTTCCGTCGTGCGTGTTTCGTCGAAAAGCGCGCGAAACTCGTCAGTTGTCGCGTTCAATTGAAATAATTCGCTCACAGATGCGCTTAGGATCCTCTTGCGCCGTACACTTTTTTTTCGATTGTCGCTTCCAACAGATACGTACGTGTTCTATAAATATTCAACGTACGAATTCCAAACAAGGAACAACAACAACAACAACAACAACAACAACAACCGTGCCGATCTTGAACACTCGTTTCAACAGTTCTTGCTGGACGAAGGGTATCCGTAGTGAACAAAAAGACGATTGAGAGTGCAGTAACTAAGCCGTGTAGGACAAAAAGAAAAAAAAAAGTGATTAGAAGGAACAAGATACGAAATAAGTAACACGTAAGGGAGGACGTCACTCTGAAAGAGGGGGCGAGCGCGATCGCGTCTGCCGAGGAAAGGGAAGGAGAGTCAAAGGTAAAACCAAAGGAGTAGGGGCAGGGCAATAAGGAGACTAAAAGGAGGAGAAAGGAAAAGCGGGACCAACGACGCCACGAGTGACAATTCTGTGGTGTATCGCTTGCAAAAGACTCGAGGTGGCATAAGAGGAGGATCGGTGGATTCGCGTGAAGAGAAAGTTACCAAGGTATCCTAAGCGTATCGTTCGTTCGTTCGTTCTTCCGTTTGTTGGTGCGTTTATCAGTCCGTTCCTACGGTCGTTGCACGGTTCGACGAACACCAATTTTTCGTGTTCCAGTGCTTTGTACGTTTAGGAGCATCACGGGAGGATTAATTTCCACGAATCTTCGGATAAGGTCAGTGGAAACGGAAAATATATTATTTTGTACGAGACTGTCAAAATTGTGAAACGGCAATGAATATTATTGAGTGAAATTCCGTCAATTTCGTTATCTTCACGTTTCCAAGAAAATTGCATTTTTTGGGGGCGTTGATATAGTTTCGTCACAGTGGTGTGTGGATGTTAAAGTTTAGTTAAAGCCAAACGGAGCACAGTTTATTACAATGTACTTTCTCTTTCTTTAAATTATTTCATTCAGTGCCCTTACATTCAATCTTGTGTAACTCTAGTTTAAACAGAAATGTTTCCTTAATTTAGAGTTAGTGAAACTGCAACCCTTCGTTCTGAATGCTTCCGTGGTTTGTCACTGTGTGTGAACTTACAAAGTTTCTTCGCTAAAATTCCGAGCTCGGTTTTTAACCGCTCTAACGTTCACTTTCCTTCGGGGTTAATGGTTAGGAATACTAAACAAAGATGGTATTGAATGTCCAGTTTCTTTTAGTTACTCACGCGGAAAGGACTTGACCTGTCATCGTCAGATCTTAACGTGCTTTTGCAGAATGATAAATTGACATGTCCTGACGTAATATGTAGTACATTAAATGCAATGAAGTTGCATAGATTGCTTAGGTGATGCGTTGCGCGGCATCACCTGTCATCGAGATCCAGTAATCGTCAAGAGTAACCTTGTCGAACTCTAATTATTTATTATGGATAGATTGCCATTCTTTTTTTTTTCAAGATAAACAGTGAAACGTTGAACTCGAAGAGTATAGGTTTCTTCATTTTTGAAAAATAGGACGATAGACTATGTTAAAACTTAATATTAGGGTCGTTGAGGGCTCGCCCTCCGCTAAATTTAAATTTTCCATACCAAGCACACGTGAATATTTTTATGTATTAATTTATATTTCTAATGATTTCTCCGACTATTATCAACCTGTGAAAGCACGTTAACATAGAAGTGGGAGGAGGGGGGGGGGGGGGAGGGTAAGTCTGGCTCTTGTCAGAATGTAACACAAGTTCACAGATGCAACAGCTTCTTTCTTGCAAAATCCAGTTAAACAAATGCACGATTCGAACGTAAAATTTATAAAGAAATAATATTAAATGTGAAAAATCGCGAGTTTCCCTTCCAAACGACGCGACGCGACGTTTCACGCGGCTGTAACGACGCTCGTCGCGAAGGAGCGTCGATTAATTAAAATAATAGTTTCATACAACTCTAATCTAAATTCTACACAGGAGTGGAACGCGCAAACGATGTATAAACGAACGCGTAATATGTATTTCGATTCGACGCGCTTCGAGCTCTCTATACCGGGGCCCATCGACTTTCTTCGTTGGACATTCACCGCGAGTTTGCGTGCCGCGATTCGTATCGAGGGGCACAGAAGTAAGAGCGCTCAATTTACTCGTGTATCCGTTGCGAAAGGCCCAAATTTTAATTGTTTTCTTTGAAATTACATTTCGACTATAGTCTGTGCCATAAGTATTCGTAACCTCTATGTCTGAAGAATCTAGCGAAGAGTCTAAATTGAATGGTAGGTTTGATGTTTTTAAATAAATGTTTTGTTGGAAAGATGTACAAACTTCACACGTATATTTGGATATTAATAAATTAGACAAATATAAGACTGGTACATTAGCTGTTACGTTAGGCCCTAGAATTGCTGGTCGTGGCACTGATGATGACTGATGAGCCATGGGCCATGGCGCGCAAAGTAAACGGTTAGATGTAAAACTTGGGCGTTCTTTTAGGTTTTCGGGCAGTATGGGATTCTTTATGAAGAACAGAATGGTCAGCTTAGGATACCGTTACACGCGAAGCGTGCTCGCGCAGCATCCATAACCGTTATTTCGTTTTAAGGACGCCGTGTATGTTTCATGTAGCAGTTCCGTTTCTTAGAGTTGATCTCGATTTAAAAAATGCCTACATGTTTCGGGCTGAGCCACGAGGACGCCGCGATAATCGACGAAAAGGAACGTATCGATACGACAGACGAAAATCTCGAATATGGTCTTAATAATTCTATTATTAGAATATTAATTTTCATCGAAATGAATCGTTCGAAAAAAACTATTACTTTGTGGTTGACGAGTTCTCGGCCGTTCGAAATATTCCAGTGAAAGAATTTTCGCGATACAACAATCTCTAGTTGTATCGCTATCGTTCGAACGTGTTCCTTCACGAAATAATAATTTATGTCATACGGACTGCCACTTGAAGAGAAGAAATTTCATTGTTCACATGACGGTTCCAGCAAAAAATGAAATTTCTTGTCATAAAAACAAATGATAAAATGAAAAATCTCTGAAATATATTTTATTACTTCGTTAGTATCTTTTGAATTTCAAGATAAAACTTCAGGAACGAATTCTTGCATGGTTGAACGTTTCCAAAAATGTAAACAAGGTGTGAGGATTTTTAGAAACATTCTATATCATTATTTAAAAGAAAAAAAAATACAATTTCATGTACACACTTAAAAAATCATACATAAATCCATTAAAAAATATAGGAAGCACGAGTTGACAAAACGCAGTAACCTCGAAAAACTGTGTGGTCAGCGAATACGTCGACTTATACGTCGATATATTTACGTTCGAATTCGATGCTCTTGTACCAATTCAATCCAAGGAATGTTTCCAAACGATTTGTGACTTATTGAGACATACGACTATTGCATCGATACCTGCGTGATTACTCGCAACCCGTCAGAGATCAAACAACCGACCCAGACACTTGAGTAACACAATCATTAATCTGAATGTCAAACATGTAAATAGTGACTATAGGATTTTCGTTTAGCGCGAAGTAAACACTGAATCACTATTGATCATTTCAGGTTATTCAAGGTTACTTAACCCTGTTGTATTCAGTCGCTTACGTTATTAATTTTACTCATAGCCGATTAAATTTCGCTCTGATATTGTTCCAATCACGAAATTATTATTTAATCAAATTCCTTGACTGCCATTACGAATACGTTTTATGCTTGACAGGTATACAATCTTTCCTTATTAAGATCTAATATTGTGCAGGTAAAAAAGGTATGGAAAGTGTTATTTAGTCGATTAAAATTAATTTACCGTAAATACGTTTTCTGCAGTTTCATTACTGCAGTATAAGCAAATCATAATTTTATGCTCATTCATATTAATAAGGAACTGCTGATGTCTATAGAATACGTGACACATATTAATTATATTTTATACATTTCCGATTATGTAGACGTAATATATTTCTTACGTGTTAGCTTGTTTTTAGATTTTTGTTGGTACTTATTCGCATTCAAAATCTGTACGTATGTAATTCTCTTATAACCTCTAGGATTTTTTTACCAATTCCGATGAGCTTTTGTATAGTTGCTCTTTATGTTCCAACGAAAACTATAGGATACTTAATTTGCAGAAACATTAATTATACAGTAAACTATACATGTTTAAACCATGAACCTTTATTTTTACAAACTTTGAACCCTTCCTTTTTTTAGAAGTATTAGGTAACACTTGAATCTAATCTGCAACTTCTACCAATTTCCCATCGTAGGTTAAGATTAACTAACGAAGTAGCTCGTGTTAGAGAAGAGGGGGAACATTCCATCGAGGGTGGGGGTCCTGGAGCTGCGATCGAGATTCGGAGATCGAAAAACACTTCCGTTTCTCGTTATGTCCTACCGTTTCCCAACATCGACCATTTTTACGACTTTGTTCGAGGCTAGACGACGATTTTCCTTTTTTTTGGGGTGGGGGCCTGTAACAGGGAAAACCTCCGGGTACAGGAAACTTTGAGAACTTTTTCCATCGTTCTCTGAGTCATCGGTTACTCTTCAAAGATAACGATCCATCGAAAACGATGAAACTAGTTTTCGTTGGGTAGCTGACGATATATGCGGCGACGATCAAATCAGTCTTTCGATTCGGAGCACGAGAGACACACGGACGAAGTTCACGATCAACTTTCACTCAACGACTGCGCGCGGTTTCTCTCTGGGTATCTATCGCGGGAACAGCGGAGCGAACAGTAGCCTTTACTTTCCCGACTGCAATTAACCGGGGGCAAGTGTTGCTGTTCATCGAAATTTCACACCCTTCAGTTTTCCACGTTAGTCGAATTTTTTTGTTTACAGTGGTTTCTATTCGATGTGGCAAGAGGTGTCATAAATTTGGGTGATTCAAGGCCAACAGAGGATGAAAGTTATGAATGACAAAATTGCTTCGGGGCTTTCGATTTATGTGAAGTTTGATTCTCTTCGAGATTGCTTAAATATATATTTCTTTTTTAATTTTTGCAAGGAGCGAATGTACACGAAAAAATTAAAAAAGAATGCAAGAGGTCGCTATTATTAATTACGGTTTGGATTTGTTGAAAATTTATTCAGATCTTGAGATTAGAGTATCAAACTTCAATATGAAGTTTCATTGGAATCCATTCGGTCAGTTAGACGTAATCGCGCGGGAAGAATGCACCTAATGACTCAATGAGACAAAAAACTCTAAAATGAATCAGAAAATACTCTTTACTTTACAGTATGATAAATTATTCTCCTATATTTGTTTAAAAAACTACGATGTATGTACAATAAAATGAGAACACGTACATAAACTTATAATAAATTTGGCGTCAATGCGAGTACGATTTCCTTCACAAAGACATTTTTCGTTTCCTGTTACAGTTGTTGACCATTGTAACCGAAACGACTCGCGTCGAACGGGCGGACATCGAACGCGATGGTGGAAGTCTTGCTGGAGCCGTGTGGCCAGGATGTAGCCGTAGCAGAGAACGGATGCAATCTCACCGAGAACTCGACGGAATGTTCACCCCGTGACGATCAGTGCGACTCAACCATGGAAGATGCGAATCTAACGGCAATTCAAAGCTTCTACAAAGGGCAGAGCATCTTCGTGACTGGTGGCACAGGCTTCATGGGCAAATTGCTCGTGGAGAAGCTCCTCCGTGATTGTCCTGGAATTTCTTTTATCTATCTCTTGGTACGCCCGAAAAAGGGAAAGGACGTGCATCAGCGCATCGAGGAACTATTCGACGATCCGGTAATTGTGATCCTCAATTATTCTATTTCCTTTATTATTTACTGGATGCACTTTATTCTCTACATTAAAGACGGAAATGCACAGAAATTCTATCGTAACGATATGAGTAAGCGAGGTTCGGTAAACGAGGCTATCGTTTTCTAAAACAACGCAATTACCTAGCACGATAATACTTATCGCGTCAAGTATACTATTTCAAGTATAGAGTATTCATCGTAGCGTGGAAACTATGGTGGGCTAACTATGCTTGTGCCAACTGTAGTTCTTCAAATTACGCTGAGTAACTAACGTTTCTCTCGAGTGTGTTAACATGTTAGGTAAAATGGGCAAACCGCTGAAAGAAATGGAATTTCGTAACTTTTGTCGAGCTACGAGTTTCGATGGTTTCCATTTCTGGTTAGCACCGTGAACCCATAGGTAAACTTGCAACGACTTTCTCTCGACGTATCGAACGACTACGCGTCCGCCACCTCTTTCCTCGCGGTCCTTTCGCCTCATCTAGGGGAGAGTTGCCTAATGCGTAACCGTCCACCTAAATCGTACCTCTTCAATTTCTTTCAAATTACCAAACGCCGGTTTCAGTGAACTGTTTCAGCGAATCCCATCGAATCAGTCTATTGTAAACGCGAAATGTTTTCGACTATTTACATTTCTTGATCTCAGCTTGTTGATCTCCTGAAGCTGTGCATCATTTCAGCAGACAAAATAAATTCTTCGTACTTTCCCATAACAGAATAAAAAAGTCTTCGCTATGAATGTCCATAGCAAATCTTCCAACGATGCACGACATGATTTTCCAATTTTCTCACGCAATTACTTTGTAGAGTATTGTACCACCTGAGAGAATCGAAAGCATAATCCGTAGCGTTGCGAGAAATATCAAGGAAGCAGAGGCTTCGAGTGTTATTAGTAATACATTCCATCGGAGAAACGAGAAAAGGGAAACGGAGAAACTCCGAAGAAAAATTGATTTTAGAAAGAAACATTTATTCCCGCGTGAAGTCGACTCTGCTCTTTTTCCTATCTGCTCGACTGCAAGATCGACTACATCCCAACGTTGAAGACCCCTTTTCGAAAGTCGTGGACTTTCGTGTCTTGTATTCGGTTGCGCTCGAACGCTGCTGTCTCTTGCAGCTGAAATCATAGAGAAAATCTTTCGACTGCACACTGAACACGCACGTTCCAAACGGTCGTACATCAAACCTGTGTCGCGACAGGTTTTATGGCAATGTACTGTCATCAAACGTGGACATGCGGTACCATAGGTTGTAAATCCCCAAGCACTTCATATGTATCGTTTAAACGTTGTATAAATTCAATTTCCTTTATATAACTTAGGATAGATTAGTATCTCGAATTAGGAATAAAACTATATTCTAATTTAATGAATTGGAAAACATTTAGAGGTCCACCGCGGATGTTATCTTCTTAAAGAAAAGTTCAAGAGACTTTTAATGCGAACAGATAGTTCTCCAGACGCTGTGTGCTAAATTGATGATGACCTCAACGTTAAAGTTGATACAGCATTATCTTAACCGCAATTATGAGCTTTTAACCCAGATATTACTATCATTTTTGAAAAAAAGTTTCCTGTAACGTCTGAGTGTAGCTAATGCGAATGAATTCTTTTTACGTTGAATTATGCTTCATTTATACTAAATGGTGAATTATTGAGAATTTTATCTGTATCTAACTACATTTATGATTGATGAATTTTCTTTATAAAAAATGTATCACCGTATTTATAGACAATGAATTTTAATTGACATGAAATTACACAACATAGTTCTTCTTTACATAAAATCACGTTATAGACATAACATGGATAATTTATACTCGATCCATAGTTTACGTAGATTTATTCAAAAAATCCTGCTGTGACCTAGATACAGTAGCGGACTGACTTAATGAACCTGTGGGAACTGGTTTTTAAGCTGCCCACTAATAAGCCGAAGTCGAAATATCTATGACCTTTTTTTGTTTCCATGAAGAAACATTTTTCAAACCTCATTTTTCTATAGAGGGAAAACACACTGATTGATAAACGTCTTCGTTACTTTACGATACAACAAATGAACATAAATAATAGTGAATTTAATCGTCAGACAACTCATTCATAAATAATTGATCATGGAACGATAACAATTTTATCGCAATTGAATAAACGATGTTAAGAGAGTCAAATAACCCATTGATCGCAGCAATAATTCATCGATTAATATAAATGTTAATCCTTGTTATAGCCTCTAAACAACATTCTGACCGAGACAGCAAGCTAATTCATGAATAATTTCTCTTTGCTCAGATTTTTGGCAAACTGAAAGAGGTGAAGCCCAAGTTTAGGCACCAGATCGTCGCGATAGCTGGTGATTGCAGCCTGCCAGGTCTGGGAATCTCTCCCAGCGACAGAGCCATGATGATTCAAGACGTCTCTATCGTCTTCCACGTCGCCGCGACCGTCAGGTTCGACGAGAAGTTGAAACTCGCGGTTCCTATCAACGCACGGAGTCCCAAGGTCGTTACAGATCTCTGCAAAGAAATGCCACGTCTGAAGGTAAGGTAACAAAACGCGTTCCTTGTGAAAATCGCATAATGACGGGGATTCTCTTCCAGTCGTTCGTGCACGTATCAACGGCGTACGCCAATTGCCCGCTCGACGTAATCGAGGAGAGGGTGTACGATCCCCCGATGGACGCTGACAAGCTGATCACTCTGACGGAATGCCTCGACGAGAAGTTGATCGAAGAGATCACCCCACGGTGAGGAAAGACCTTAATCATTTTTAGAGCGTTAATACGTTGATTGCCATGCTGACTTTCCATGTTTCGAGATGATCCTTTGCTTAGACTGTAGGGTGAAACACAGAATCCAATTGTTCCTTCAAGCA